AACTTCAATACTTTTATAAACACACGCTATAATTCACAGCTATTCACACACTTTACTTATGGTGCCTACTGCTCGCTTGATTCAATTATCAATTATTTCTCTTCAATCTATCTCCTTATATACTAAAAAAGAGGGCGTCTAGCAAACGCTGGGACATTTGTGAGGTTGCCCGATAAGTCACGATCCTTCTAGAAACTCCAGCGCGCATGCTCCCATCGTCGCGTGACTTCCGCTGTCGTAACAGTATTATTTCCAAGACTGTTTCTTGTCTTAACGTGTACCCTTTCATTACCCGCTAATTTTTTCTAATATTTTTCCCTGTAATGGATGAATTTTATTATGGGATATATTGTGTTTTATTTTGTGTCTCTAATGTCTGTAACTTATTTCACTGTATATACGTATAGCAACGTATTATATTTTAATAAGCTTACTCGGAAACGTTGGAAGTCACTTTGGAAAGGTGTTAGACAAATCGATTCATGACAATAATCCAAACAGTAATAAAAGGGTTCTAAGCTTCTTAGGATCTAATCCCATAACCGACAACATTTTCAATTCGATGTTTACTTTTTTTTTTTTAATGAGCACACTAACTGGTTAATGTTTTTGTTGCATTACATGCTAAATACAATAAATTATTTAACTTATACAAGGTACGTGTCCCTTTGTATTATTATTAGTACTCCAGCATTATTTTATCATATTCAAGATGTATTTTTCACAGTCTACCAGACTGAATGAATCCTGTATAAAATCATGAGAATTAGTACACTGCTGTGTATGTACATACTACTCTAAACTTTGTTTTTGTCTGTCACTTTTTTTTTCACTAGTGAACTTTACCTTAGATCTCGTTCAGAGTTCTAGAAGGAACATGAAATTTAAATAAGTTCGATAATACTGTGTAATTACCACTAACAACAATCTTTAATAAAGCACGACATTAAGCATGAATATATTTATTGCACTATAGTAAATAGTTCTTACGTTGTGCAAGTATTAAGTTAAGAGCAACATTATGGTAAGATCAAAATTTTAAAGTAACTTTAATGTTGAGTTCAGTTGTACTATTACACACTATTTGGTTGTTAACACAAGACAAATGAGCAACCCAATGCAAGTGACGAATGTTGAAGACGCTAGGTGGCACATTGCCTTCGAAATGGAGTTTGTTAAGTTTAGGACAAAGCTACTAGGGGGCTATCTGCGCCGCTCGTCTCCAATTGTGAGGTGGTAGACTAGAGGGAAAGCAGCTAATCAACATTTCCCACCACAAACTTTTAGTCTAGTCTTGGAATACTGAATATTGAGATTTGACAATTACCCTTATAACGCACCTATTGCTCCAAGTGTGAAGCAAGTGTTCTCAGCCAGTAGAAAATGAGAAGTTCTGGAATAATATTAGGATCAGAATGAGAGAGCCAACCAATGAATAATTAATTAAATGAAAAAGGCGTGAACCGTCTGTGCATCAACAAGCATCTTTCTTTGCACCAGACAAAAATAGAACCTACACACAGGGTAATAAGCAAAATAAACTTTTAACAAAGATTGTTCTAATACTTTTCATGAATTTCAAGCTAAAATATTGTTTTACTTGACAGCGTTATTAAAAATATACAACTTAATAGGTCATGACTATTTCTTATTCTTTAGAGACCCATGTTGAAACTTTTGCACATGGACAATTTTTTTCACTAAATAAGTATGCTCATATCTTCTATAATTAACGAAGAATAAATTATTTTTAGTAGTTGTCTCACAGTGATGATAGGGGGGAGTCATCTTTTTGGGTAAACTTTTTAAATTATCAATGAAAAAAAAGATACTTATTTTTTGCGTGGTCATTTTTAGGGATTCCCTTTTTCCACCTTTGCCAAATACCACTTGATTTTTGGCAAGCTCAGCTCGGATCTGTCATAGCTCTCTGGCCACCCTTGATTGGAAAGTATTGTTGCGTCAGCGAGATCACATGACTATTGTCACGTCACCTGCTTTCTAGAACTATCCCTTTCCTTCGGGAGTGCTCTAGCATTTACTAGATTGGGGGGGGGGTCTGGTATATATAAGATGGTCACGGCGTGACGTCACAAGAATATGTGTGT